CACCACTCTAACATGTATTTTTATTCCCTATTTAATTTTATACTTCAAGTTCAATTACACTTTGTGTAGACTGTGATTTGCTTTTTGATATCTGGTATCTAGCATTGTAAAAAAGATTTTGAAATGTTGTTGTGGGTGGTGGTTGTTTTTTGTTACCTCTCCAACTTAACCAGTGTCCCAGCAGTAACTGGCCAAGAGAAAGTAAGGGATTTGACCTCCTGAAAATTGCCATGCTACTAGAAGTACTGCAGGGGTCAGCTTGTCTTACTGAAACTAAAGCAAGTGTGTTGCCTGAGCTCACTCTTCTCATTTAGAATTGTCTTCTCACTGTATTCAAAAGCAACATAATTTAGCCCGACGTGGAGGGAAACATTTTTAATTATTTCCAAGGGCTATGGTTGTGTTCCTCTTGCAAGTCTACGGCATGGGAGCCTTATTTATGACTCTGTAGTTGATGCTGTACTGAAATCAGAGTTTGATATTTGAATTGGTAGTGATCTCAAGGTTGTTCTCATTATGCTCCGCCCCCCCCCCAAAAAAGGAAAAATTGTATAAACACTTAGTATTTGTTTCAGTCTGCATCTTTATGTTTGATTTTTTTTTTTTTTTCTTTAAATACTGCAACATAGGATAGATGCAAAACAGTGTTTTCCTCACTGTATCAATATCCTGGAGGTATTCTTCTGGTACTTTACTGTGCAATCCACACTTGGTTTGGAGGTAAATAAATCCCTTCTCCCTTAAACCAGGTTACATGCAAGTGGAATTGCATTAAAATAATTCAGAAGATAGTGAATTACTTGGGATATATGCATTCTGTTCATAATGAAGGACAACTTAAGAATGAAGTAGTATTTGTGTTACTAAAAGCAGTTTGGAAAGTTGAGATCTAGAATAACTTTTTGAAAACCCTGATGCAAGCTGCTGGTAGTATAGTGCTTACTTTCCTTGTTCTTATCTGTCAGAACCATTAGGAAAAGAAGACCAGATGAATACTTGAGAACTGAATTTTTCTGCTCAAAAACAATATGGAAAGCTAAAAATACAAAGTGTTTTCCCACTCTTCTTTCTTGTAGTCAGTTCAGTTTCCATAGGAATGTTAAACAGCGATCATAAGAGCTCATGAGGCAATTTCTCTGGATGAATCAATCAAACTGGAAAACTGATGTAAAAGGTGACTGCTGGCCCCCTTCTCCCCTTACCTGCCCCTGCATTTGTACATACACAGGCACGTGCACACACACTTAACTTGCTGGATAGCCACCTCCTTCATTTGTGTGGTATAGGTTTCCTTTGTTTTCAGTTGTGCACAGATGATTAGAAATCAAAGAACTCTTCCCAAGTGATTCAAATGCAGTCACTCTTTTGACAGTAAGATTTAGTGGTGTACGACTGGTTTTCCCTGCTTGGTTAGAATGCTGATTTGAAGTAGTCCTGTTTGCCTACACTACATGGTTTTTTTTGTATTGTACTCATTCGTTAATTCTGTACTCAAGATAGATAATGATGGTGTAGACTGAACATGAACAATAAATGTACTCTTACAAGTTGATCTGAAATTTCCAGATTTAGGTGGGATTGTTGCTGTTTTTGAAGGTGTCTGACTCTAATGCTCCTTTTCACGCAGAAAAAAAGCGAGGAGTAAATGGATTCAAAAAGTGCAGCAAGTGTTATGTGAAATAGAAGTGGCAATATCTTCTGTGCTATGAAGATATGCCGTGACATTTGGTTCATCTGAGAAATCTGAGTAATATAATGGGGCTGTGGGAGAGAAGTGAAATGACTCAAAGTAAAAATGCTAAGCCAAAACCAAAATGTCAGTGAAAAGGTTTTTGCTCAGAAAAAGTAAGCATTGAATTTCAAGCTTTATTTGCATAGCTTTGCTTTTATTGAAACAAAATGAAATCTTGCTTGTATTTACCTGTTCTTTTTCCCCTCTGTTTTCAAAGTCAGGAGTGCAGATTTTTGCCTGGCTCTTAAATCAGTGATGTTATTAATGGTGATGTTCAAGCTTTACGTTTTTCACCTAAACAAACAAAACTACTTTCGGCAAAAAATAAGTAGTAGTGAGGGTGGCTAAGTCTCACCTGCTGCTTTTTTCACTGTGTGGGTGCCCGAGTGCTGGCACAGGTTGCCCAGGGTGGTTGTGGAGTCTCCATTCTTGGAGATCCTCAAAAGCTGTCTGGGCAGCCAGCCCTGACTGGCTCTGCTTGAGCAGGGTGGTTGGACCAGATAACCTCCAGATGTCCATGCCAACCTCAGCCATTCCATGTTTCTCCAGAAGTTATCTGTGTGTTTGTGTGTGTGCAAAAATTCGGAATCTTTCATTCCTTACAAATAGCAGTTATTTGACAGAGACACTGACGTATGTAAGTATGAACTAATGTGCCTGGAACACTAATGTTTTAATAAGCACAGCCTTATGGGTGCCTAATAGAGATTAAGTATTTACCTATCTATATGCTTTAAGAATCTTAATTTATTTTTTTTCTGTCCTGAACCGTTATCAGGTGTTCATTAGTGCCTATGATAGAATATTTCTATCTAGTCACTTCACTGGAGTTCTTAAAAATATTTATATTTCACTATTTTTAAATAATCATTATTGTGTGAATCCTATTGCGTGTGTGCTGTATAATATAAAAATTGTTCTGCTCTTGAAGTGAACTGTCAGTCCTGCTTTTCAGTACATACATGAGACTGCAGTATTGTTGGTTTATCACATAGCTGCAGAGATAGGTGTAACTAGTGAGAACAGAAGATGACTGATCCAATTTTCTGAGAATCCAAGATTCAAACTAGCATAGAAAATGAAAAATGGGGAAGGCTCATTAGGCAGCTGTAACAGGCTTTTGCTGGAGTTTGTGCCAATGGTACTTTTGGCCAAAAGCAATGGTTACCTCCAAGTACTTGCTTTGGTCATTTTTCTTTTGAGAGTGTTATTTGTGTTGTCTTAATCTTACCTGTTTCCAGAGAACGCTTGCAGTAAATATGAAAAAATGGTATCTACAATTGACTATTTCCATCACAGTGTATTTCTTTATCTGTTTTGACAATTCTAATACTCCATCCAAGGGAGAAGGATTTGGTGGTCGGGTTGCCATGTAAAATATTTTCCAGGTTTGTCTAGAAGAATCTGTTGCTGTGGAACTTGAAGTCAGAGAGACTGAGATTTGTGCATGGGTCTTACAGTAGGGAAGAATCCACTTTCTGTAGCTAAGGCTTTCAGAAGCCCAGAAGGTAGCTTTGTATTTTCCTCTGCCTAGGAGAAGAAAGAAGTCTTCAAGGTTTTTTGAAAGCTTGAAGCAGATCTCTGTGTATGCATCCTTGAATGTCCTGGGTTTTCTTCTAATCCTGTGACTTTCTTCTATGGTAAAGATGAAGACTGTATCAATGCTTACTACTTAGACTGTAATCTCTTTGTTTCCTGGTAACTTACTGCTCAGGTTCACAACTTCAATATTAAACATATGGCTATTTAATCTTCAAATATCTATATTTAGTTTAGAAGCTCATCTTCAAAATAACTCACAGTTTCTGAGCACAACAAGAATAACATTTTAATAGCTTTTAACAACTTAAAAGCCACTGTTGTTATACACAAAATACATTCTAGGAGTAAAACCATATCCTGTCCACACTACCTCTACTTTGAATTCTGGCATTTGAGATCCTTGATGGAGTTGGGCTTAATCTGACCACTTAAGCCTTAAGAGGAATTTTGTCTGTTTTTCCTGTACTACCTTAGCTGTTTTGCAGAGGACTGATGGTGGAGAGGAACTGGTATGCTACAAGAGATCAGTGCTCATGGTTAGGATGTCTGAGGTCTTCAGTCATGGTTGGATGCAGTGGTTATAGAGGGAGAATAATGTTCAGGGTAAATGTCATGTAAAGATTAACCTCTTGGGTTAAACAATAAGGGAAGAGGTAATAAAAGTAGATAATGAAGTAAACTATGCTTTCGGCTTTTAACTGCAAAGTAGACTTTTCAGTGGAATATGCCCAAGTTGGGGTGAGCCTGTGTGAGAAACGAGAGATTGGGTTTGCTTGTGGAGAAGTATACTGGCAAATGAAGAAAAATAAAAGTAATATTGTTCTGCTGGTCCCTTAATGGCAATGATGTCTGAAGAAAGTGTTCCAACAGCTCTATTGTTTGTGATTAGTAAAATCATTGTTAAAACACCAGTTAAAAAAAAAAATTAGATCATATTTTGTATATTATTTGGTATACTTACATTTGCAAATCTAACACTCAACTATTAGATGGTTGTTACATTTTTAGACTCGAGCAAATGCTATGCTGTATAACTTTGTAGACCTGTGATGTGTGTGTAAGCTAGAAGTACACATTTCATTCGGTGCGGAGCATTCAGAGATGGGAGGTAAAGGATGTGGCTGCAGCAGCAGCAGCAGCGTACGAGCACTTCTCCAACCGTACACTTGAGGGCTCTGAAGACTGAGAGGAATGGTGCAGAAGCAATTGCAGTTGAAGAATGTATTTTAACTAAATTGGTGCATTGTACCTGCGTGGGGTTTAATGCTTGCTGGGCCATTTGGCTATTTGCCATAATTGGCTTTCCATTCCCTTGATTGGAATCATAGATAAAAATTTGCTAATCCACTTTCTTTGCTGAAAGTATTAGAAAAGTAATCCATCTTTTAAAAATGCTTGAGCAAAATCATATGGTATAAAGAATACGTTATTGAATAATGAGATTAATGAGAACTGTAAGGCATACGCAATTTAAAACATTTTTCTATGGTTTTAAGGGGAAAAACACAATCTGGGCACTTTAAAGCCATAAGTACTTCCTTTTTTTTTTAATGCAGTGCCTTTTAAATGTGCATTACATGTTATGCTTTTGTCTACCTGAGAAAATGTGAGTATATATTTATGAAGAAGGAACTGCTATTTATTTTTATTTTTCTTGTGTTTGAAACTATCTGATGTAAATTTCTTGACTGTGTTCTTTCCTCCCTCTCCCCTTTTCTGCCCACAGGGCATCAGAGCACGCATTTTGGAAACCCTTGTAATGCTTATTCTTCTTGCACTGCTTATCCTTGGAATCGTATGGGTGGCTTCAGCACTCATAGACAATGATGCTGCCAGTATGGAGTCTTTGTATGGTATGGAATTCAGAAAAACACCACACTAATTTCATTTTAATTATGGAAATGGATGTTTTCAATTAAATGTATTTCTAGTAAATGCTGTGTGAGTGTTGCCCGGGTTGTGATGAAGCTGTATTAATTTAGTCAATACCGTTTGTTTCGTTAAATCAATTTTTAACATGCTGAGACGTTTCATGTTGACATGATATATGTTAAAAACAAGAGACTTAAGTGGTATATTTTTCCATGTAAGTTATTTCTTAAACTAAAGTACTTGAGGATTTAGTTGCCTGCAGGATTATTAACTCAGTAATTCTCAACTTATTCTTGAAAGTACAATCGTCCAATGCTGAATGTTTAAGAAAAAAGGTTAATCAGTAGCGTTTGTGACATAAGTAGCCTATTTGTAACAAGCTAAGGCTGTGCTCAATATTTCCTTTACAGATCTCTGGGAATTCTACCTCCCGTATTTATATTCCTGTATATCACTGATGGGATGCTTGTTACTTCTGTGTAAGTATCTTCCAGATTATTCCAAAAGATTAATGTGTTTATGGATATTTTATTTTTCTTAAAAGGTTAAAGGAAACATTTTCATTGTGAAAGTTGAGTGTGATTTCCCTCCTCCTCCCCCATTTTTAAGTTGAGATGTAAATTCGTTAGATTTGGGTTTGAACAAATGCTACCTTACATATTCAAGTTTTGAGTAACTTCATACCTCACCCAAAATAATTTCAACTTTTAACTTTTGAAAGCAGGTATTTGAAAAGTAAGGACTCTATTCTGCAAAGGAAAGTGCAGTTTTAAATGAAATATCTGCAGGAGGTCAGTAGTACAGAGAGAAGGTTATTTTGGAACACTTAGTTTGTCCTATATTCAGTAAACTACCCTTCTTCCTTACTTAATTAAAAATGTTCTTGTATAAACTGAAGTCAGAACAGTGCAATTCCCTATTTTGTGATTATGAAAGCTATCTGGAGGTCAGTTATACATTTGCATACAAAACAAATGCAGTAAGAACCCCAGCCTTACACCAACTGGTCCTACCCGAGAGTTCAGTCATCCATGTTCTAGAAAACATCTAGATGAGGCCCTTAGTGACGTGGTTTAGTGGTGGACTTGGTGGTCCTGGGGTGGTGTTTGGACTTGATGATCTTGAAGGTCTTTTTCAACCTAGTTGATTCTATGATTCTGTGTTTAGGGGAATGAGATAGGTGATGGAAGCCTCCAAATCCCACTTGCAATTTCAGTGCCCAACTGCCCTCCCCAGATAATTTCTGGAAAATTACTGTGAGGAGGACAGAACATCTCCCTTTCTAGATTATCGTGATTTCATTTGTTCTCTAGGCTTTGCAGGTTTACAGCTAACACAGGGTTGTCATTGTGGAGAATGATAGTTCAAAACATCCTTATGACTAAGCAGGTCTGTTTGTGCAAGGTGTTGCTCACAGAGACCTTGGTGAGTCTCCTTCGGTTCTCTGTGTGTGAGGAGTCTTAAATCAAGTTTAATTATTTTGGGGGGGGGTGGGTTAAGGGAAGAGAAAGTGGTTCTGAATGTCTCACATAGGCTATTCAAGAATCTGAGTGACAGCAGTTGCTGAATGGTTTTAATTGGGCAGTTGGCTTACAAACTTCCTACCTGTGTCTTGCAGTTTGTTTCAGCAGAGCCGAAAACACAGCATGTGTTCTGGGACTGTTGTAAACCAGTTCACCAAAATAATTTGGCTTAAACACCAATTTTTGGAAGAGTTATTTGTAGCTTATAAAAGCAAATCACCAAAGTAAAGGTCTCCAAGCTGCTATATCTGTGTAGCTGAAAGGGCACCATGCAACAGTGGGAAGGTGGTAGATGGCTGGGGTAGAGCTTCATTATATCTTCAGCTGGCTTAACTGCTGAAGCAGCGTAGGAGTATTGCTGTGGTGATTTGGAGCATCACTTCCATTCTCTTTTTTCCCTTTTCCTGCAGGCTTACTCTGTTGTAAACGAGGACTAGCTTAGCTTAGCCCTTTGTATCTTTCCTGTAATACACAGTAGCCACAGCGAAGTACCAGATAAAAATAAATTTAATCCTCCCTTTGAAATCTTGTGCACGTCTCTGTTTTTGGCAACACTGTTCTGTTAGAACGGAAACTATAAATGTATATTCTCATCTATACTATTACAAATTCGTTCTATCTTACACACTTCAGTATTTGAAGGCTGTTCTCCCTAAACTGTTGATTTTTACTAATAATTTTCTATTATCATGGTTTGAGCCTTTCTCCCAACAAGCACACATGCACCATACCTGGAAACAATCACAGGCTATGATCAAAAAGGGCCCATTGTCATTTCAAAGAAAAGTAGCTTAAAATCTGGTAGCTGAACCTACTATCAATTGAAGTTGCAGTATAACTTTCATAGCAAAGCAGCATCGTGATCTTTTGACCTCACAGCTACACCTGTGCTGATAGACTAAATGGGCCTGTGATGTTCTCCAGTCCTGTGCCCAGCAAGTGTCTTTCTGTCCATGATATTGGAGTATGCAGAAGCTGGCTCTGTGGGTGCTGCTTCCTGATAATGGTTTCTGGACTGCAGGAACTCTAGAACTGCACCAGAGAATTGTTTGGGAAAGTGCAAACTGGCCCAGGGCAAATCGTGCCATGGATAGTTCTAGCAATTTACTGGTGTAGGCAAGCAAGTCTTAATGCCCAGGAATGTATCCTGGCACTGCTGAGTTTACTAGTGTAGACATAGCCCCTGGTGCCACATGCTTTGAATAAATAATTACTTGAGCAAGTTTAAGATACCTGATTAGATGGTGTTCTTTGTTTACAAAAAAAACCCAAAAATCACAGTTATGCTCTTTGAGGGGAGAGATGCTTGTCTTATTCAAACTCCATATGATAGCAGTGTGTTTTAAAGTTTGTAGTGGAGCTTGAAGCTCCTGCAGTTCTCTTCAAAACCGTGCTTGGTTATATGTGGAATAGCACTTCGAGCATCCAAATAAAAATTGGTCCTTGACTTACAAATCACTGTTTTCAATGATTGTTTCTCCTCTGCAGTATGCACCCCAGTGGGGCTTTCACGGATGTTTACAGTAATGGGTCAGTTGCTGGTGAAGCCAACAGTAAGTGTTACACATATCTGTCCTCATTTGCTCTCTGTTAGAAGGTGGAATGGCATTAGGGTACTTCCTTTTTGAATGCTTGCACTTCTGTATAATTCTCTTCAGTTCATCAGTTTCTATAGTCAGTATTTCTGTACTTGTTTTAAAGTTTTCATAGAGCACAAGAGCCTATTTTTTAATAGAAAAAGGTTTTTTAATAGTATAGGCTTCCTCTTATTTTCCAATTTATATAACTGCTACTAGTACTAGTATTTATTGCCAGTATTGCCTACTGTGTTTGTTTTGTAAATGCCTGAAAAACGTGGGCTTGTTCTGAGTTCAGGAGCAAATGATACAAAACTAAGCAAAGGATACAAAGCTAAGGCTGGATAAGAAGAAGGGTACCTAGAAGTACACTTAGGTGGGTGAAATTGAAGTAGTTGGCATCTGTAAGAACTTCTTATACATAAATTCAGTTCTTGTACTAAATGTTGTGAGGGAAGGGAGAAGTTTGCATCATGTACAAGTGCTCTAGTGACTTTGCTGCCGTGTTTCCTAGTTTGTATTTGCTAAAATTTGGATGCACTTAGGTCTTGCATTTCCTTTCATTAGTGAGTTCAACCCTGAAGATACAAAGAAAGTATGTATTTTTTGGCTATCTGTAAGCTTTAAACTCAAAGCACCTGATAGTAAGGTAGACAGAGTTAATTTATTTTGTTTTAGCTTCCAGTAGCAGTTTGTATTTGCTTGAAATACTGGCTTATGTGAAAAGTCACTTTTTAATGTACTTTCTTCAAAATCTGCAGGTATTCTTGTTTAAATCAAATTGAGTGTGAAGGTTGAGAAGTTGACACAATTTGAATGTATCAGGAGAAGGTCAGATGTTCTGTCCGTTCCCCTGTTCCCTAAGTCTCGTTAGATTCAAAGTGAACATAAAAGCTTTAACCTGAAATGAAAACTTAACAGAAAGTTTGCTTACAGTAAAGAAATAGATTTGTAAGAGGATGGAATAATTGTTTGTGGCGTTCTTATTTATGTCAGGATTGTAAAGTTGTCGACTATGCATTTAAAATACAGGTTACTAGAACAAAATGAACCTGACTAGTTGACTGCAGTTTTTCTAAACAGATGACTCTGATAGTCAGTTCATGTTTCTGTTTACAAATACAGATCCTTGAAGACCTAGATGAGCAGATGTACATCATCACTTTGGAGGAAGAAGCAATTCAGAGGAGGCTTAATGGTATGCTTGTTCTGATACTGCTTCAGATACAGTATTTAAACTAGAGTGGTTCTGGTTAGGAGCATTGATCTCACTTTTGCATAGCCTCTTCTCTCAGAATAGAAAATTTTAGCATTTTAGTGTGTTAACAAGCATTATTAGGCTTACATTCCATTGCTCACTGTGATGTTCAAGATTGACTTGTGTGGTTTGCTTTGATTTTGTTTTCTTTAACATGTTCATCAGTTCTAATACGTGAAAATTCTGAGACTGAGAAAGCAGGTTGGATAGTTGACCAGACCCACCACCCTTACTGCAAAATAGTTTGGATTGGTAAATGACTGTGTTTTAGCCTTGTCAGAAGAACAACAAATTTATATTAGCAAGAGGTTCACCTTCCTGCATTATGAGTTTTGTTTTTTAGTTGGAGGATTTTTTCTGTTTCAGCTCATTATTATTTAGAATCTTAGGTAGTAATTCATTAAACATCAGTGCAGTTCTTTATGTTCTAGGAGCTATTTGAATTTAACAATTTCAGTAATTCTATTAAAATGAATAATTATTCAAATGTTTTTAGAATTCTTGTATGTAGTATTACAATTTTTCACTTCTTAATAAGGTGCTTCTGTTTTGATGTACTTCAAAAATAGTATGAAGTTTTGGCTTCTAAGAGAGAATATTGCAGCGTGGCAGCCACCAATTACAGAAAATGTATTGATTCTACAAACCTGGAAATGATGTTGTACAAATTCTCTTCTGGATTGTTCTTAACTGCACGGATAAGCCATCCATTCACAATTTATTACAGTTGCTTCAGGTTGGAAAACCAAAGAATATTCATGTCATGACACATCCGTTGCTGGATGTGACTACATCCATTCTTGTCTTATGACTTATTTTAGCCTTAATTTTCTTAATTTCCTGCCTTTCTCTCTTACTCTTAAGTTTTCTGTCATATATCTCAATCTTTTCTTCTTTCAAGTCTCAGTAAGTCTCCTTTCAAAGTTGCTTGGTCAGGGAAAGCACCTTTGATAACAACAGATCATGATGGTTGTCTCTATTCCAGCATCTACAGTTTGTGGAGGACTAGTGACTTCTTTGTGCTGAAGTCAGCCATGGTTTCCAGTTTAGAAGTAATGTTCACCTTCACTGATTTAGAAGTTAGGTTTTTATACTGGCTTGGAGATACATATATATATA